TAAGGTGGTACTTGGTAAAGTAGCCTTTTATCATTGGCCCCTTCTGATCCCCCTCATAAGACATTCATCTCGGAGAAATAGATAACATAAACTAACAATACATCTTCATTTACTGAAAAACTCTTAGGAGGAGCAGAAAAACTGGAATTAAAGATTGCTATTTACTACAATCTCAGCTACTAAAAACTGATCGAAATAGATGAAGCAATTGAGATGTTTGAAATGAACAAAAGATCTTTTCAAGAGCAGAATAAATAATAATAAACTTAGATTTAAGAATATGCTTTATAGTCTTAAGAAATAAAAAATACTTTAGATATTATCTAAACCTAGCTTTCAACTTAAAAATAATAAAAATAAATTGAACATGCTGATATTGTTATTTTATATAGCAATCCAATTATTAGAGTTAATAATGGAATAAAAGAATCCTTATTTTATAGATTATTAATCAGAAATTGATAAAATTGTGGAAACTATTAAATAATCTAACAAACCAATTAGATATCAAATTATGAATGCTACAAAAAGCAACTTAGAATTGGCAATAAAATTACATCCAGTTATAATACATGTGATCTCTCATGGAGATTATGATGAAAAATCAGCCTGCTTGTATTTAGAATTTCAGGATGATGGCATATCTACAAAATTTTAAACTCATGAAATTCAAAATATGATTTAAAACCATAAAGCTATGACAAGAATCAAACTTATTTGTATAAGTTCAGTGGTTGCTAAAAATGTTGCTGATTATATACCGAAATCAATCTCATCTGTGGTATTCCAAAAATTTTATAATAAAGAGGATGAAGAAGGACCTGCCTTCTGGGGGATGTTTTATGAAAAAATATTTTCTGATTTTACAATTTAAAAGTCGTTTAACGAAGCTAAATAAAAGCTTGGGAGTAAATTTTGGGAAAATAAAAATAATAGGTTTATATGTTGTTGCTTCCACAAGCACAATGAAAAATGTCCTTATGATCCAGCTTCTATTGGATATGAAGGCTCACATAATTAGCATCTTTCATGTGCTTAATAAAAGTGGAGCCATATCTTGGAAAAACATGCATAGGTTCATTAAAAACAATGTGGTTTAAATTGTTTAGGAATGATGACTCATAAATGTAGTTAATTAGAATTTGATGATTGGGGATGTCAAAATTATTCAAGTCGAATTGAAAATATACTTAAGAAATTGTAAATTTCTTATTAAGATGATTTTCGTTAAAACCTGCTATTTAAAAATGAACTTAATTGTTGTTGTTGTGATTAGCTAAGTGGAATATTATCAATAGTTGATTCCAGTAATATCATTTATGAAAACGCGTAGCATACATTCGAATAAAAAATTCAACTCCATCTTTATGATCAAAATGAAAATAATTTAAATTTTACCGAAAAAATCGAAAATAATGAAGAATTATTCACAGAAATTAATTATATCAAAATTGATAAATAAATTATTTTAGTCCATTCCTTTGATTGGTAAAATAGTGATTTGTAACAATATACCATAAATGCTATAACTTCCTACTTTGAGGTATTATTAGTTTTAATTTTAGATTTATTTAAAATAAATTTCTAATAAGAAATAGATCAAAAGGCTTTCAATCAATTTAAAGGATTACAACATAAATAATTGGATAGAATATGTAGCAAGTCAATTAAATTTGCACTATTCTAGCCCATAAGACTTTTTCATCAAATTTAAAGAATACTTCATCAATCTTCAGAATTAACCTCAATACCTTTACATATTCCTTATTGAAAACATTGTCAATATATATGACACTGATTAATTTAAAAAGTTTTATGAAGAAATTCAAAATGCAATTGAGACTCATTTCATACTTATTTTTACAGTAAATAACATCGAAAAGAATTATTTAAAGTTGCTTACATAAGATAAATTGGTCTAATTGATTGATTTAAAGTAGATCAATAGTTTAATTGATGCAGAAATAGCCTAAGAATGAGTATATTTTTAAATAAATGTTATTTTATAACTAAATGATAATTATCACAAAGTAATGATTTATTAGATATATCTTAAATATTATTATATATATAGGTTTCATATATAAAAAATATTAAACTTGTTATAATATTTACTATGATGAAATTAAATGTCAACATGTAAGGATATTTAAATAAAGTTTTTTAATGAATATTATGAAATTATATTTTGTAATTTGATAAAACTTAATTTCAATGTGTATATTTTCATTGTATTTTATATTTTAGAAGGATGATTGTATTTTTAATTAGATTGATTTCATTAATGAAAATAATCAAATGATGTTTCTAAAGATTATTTCGATGAATTAGTTTAAATAAATTAATATAAGAATATTTAAAATAATTGATTCAACAATTTCGAAATTTTTTTTGCTAAAGATTTCTCCACTATGTTTCAACTGGAAGAGGAATTGAAACAGCATTAGAATAAAATTAAAATACAATTTCAAGAAAGTAGTCAAGATTTAGATTTAATTTCAAGTATATTTTAGGTGATCCCTTTCGATAAAATATCTGAGAAATTTAATATGACTTGGATTTATGAAATCTTTTTTATAATATCACTAATGTATTCATATCAATATTTATCAGGCTTTTATAATAATTTTTTCCACTAATAACTTAATTTGGAATATTAAAAAGATAATTGATATTTATTACTAAATGTAATTTGAATATCATGAATCCATTTTTCGAAATATCTACCTTATGAAGCTAAGTTATTTTTATTTATTGTTTGGTTTTGATTTAGAAATTCATTTATAATTAATTAAATAATGGATGATTTTTTTGAAGACAACTAAACTCACGAGATATCAAATGGACAATCAGGTGGGTTTTAAGAGCAATAGGTTAGAATTTAGAGTAATCTTAGTATACTGCTTTTGATGCTTTTGAAAATGGGACACCACCTTAAGGAATAACATTCAATACATACGTGGTACATTTTAAATTAAGCATAGAGTCCAGAATAGTAATTACGAAAGGATAAATTGAGACTTATAGAAGATGAAAGATTAGCTTAAATAAGAGAGAAAGATTAATAAGAAAGTTTATTGAAATAATAACAAAAATAAAAAGCTTAGGAGTACTTGTAGGTGTTTAAAAAGTAAATTGTGTTGACCTATCTAAAGGTAATAAGAAGCAGATATCGCATAAAAAAGAAGTCAAAATAAGTAGAAACAAGAAATCTGGCTTGAGAATCTTAAAAATCATTACCAAAATGTATAATGTTTTTCTAAAATAAAGAAAAATTCTTGGGAATAGATAGCATCAAATATTGCTTTAAGAGATGGGGAATATCCAGGATAAAAAGATGTAACTCAGATGAGATAAGCAATCCTTAATAAAAGAAGCGATCTGACTAAGTGATTGCCAATAATTATTATATTAGCATTTAATTCAAAGTTATATGCACATCATAAATTGTTAATTCAATTACTATCCTATATGATATATCTACCTCACTACAAATATCATAATTTTGCATTCTTTAATATCGCCGTTCTTTCCTTCCTCTCAAAAGCATTGTCTAAATCTTGGTATTAATTGTAAAGAAATTGATGAAATTAGTATTCTCTATTTTTTTCAATTATCAAATGCTCTTAATAAGTATTCCACAAACAAATATGCTCCTTACACTTTTATATACTTATAGGTTCATTTTGAGAAAATTCTTAACCAATTAATTCTTATGTAACTATTTTAAAAACTTGGTTCAAGACAACTAAAATTCCTAAGAGAAAAGATCACATGGGATTATAACTTCTACTCACACAAGATCAACTGATTATTTTTTATCTGCAGGAGGTACAATTATATAAAATTCCTATCTGTCCATTTTCAATATCTTTTAAGCCGATTGTATTGCCTCCATATATAAATATCAGTGTAAAATTAAAAAATTTATATAGATCAAATGATTTTTTAGTGTTTACGGCAAAGAAATACAGGAGTTTAGCAAGGATATGATATTTGAAATCAAAAATTTAAATTTGTAGTATGGAGTCCAGATAAATTTAATTTATTAAATATAAGGTTTTAGATAGAGGTTATAGATTGAATGAAAATATAGATTAAGGTGAAATTAGTGAAAGTTTCAATTATATGTATAGATATGTGTCAACTTAACCATACATGATTTAACACCCATTCAATAGGTTTTCTGTTTATTTTATCAGTTAATAATCCTCTCATCAGATCTTTTACATCCCCTGATAAATAGTCCGGAAATTATAAATTGAAGCCTTCTTGAACTTAAAATGGAGTTCTTCCTGTGGTTAATTCAAAGGTAAGTACTCCTAGTGACCATAAATCAATGGAATTATCATATTATTATCTATAAACCATTTCAGGGGGAAGATAATCGATAGTACCACATAATGTATCTCTTTCTTTTTTGTCCTATACTGACCAACCAAAATCACTAATTTTAATTTAACCATCACACCATAGGATATTTTCAGGTTTTAAATCTCTATGAATAATGGATAATTTCTGCATTTATTAAATAGCGCAAGCAACCTATTTGATAATATTTGATGCTGCCGGTTCGGAATATCTTCTATTCTGTTGTTTCATTAATGATTGAAATAGAGTGCCGCCAGTTGCACATTCTAATACTAGGCAATAATTGTTTTTTGTTTCAAAAAATTCTACAAACTGTAGAATATTTTGATGCTTCAACATTTATTAAACAGCAACCTCTCTTTGTAATTAATGCATCATTTATTTCGTTTTCAGCTTTAGTTTATCTATCATCTTGATTGCATATAATTTTTTCGTTTAATTAAGCAAACATTTATAAACTTTACCGAATTTGCCTGATCCTATCTATTCCAAGACCTAAAAATATTATAATTTATTTTTAGGAACACTCTCACTAATTTTTATATTATAAATATTTTAATTTGGATTTCGAGTTATACTAATTTAAGTTTTTACCCTTTGTTGCATTTGTTTATTTGAGTTGGGACTGCTTGCTTTTCTAATTGGTTTATTATTGCAATTGCGAGTAATTTATCTAAGTATTTCTGAAAATTGATTTGATGAATTTGAGAAGTATTTACTTGGGCTTTTTGTGGCATTTGCAGAATTTTATCGTTTCATTTTATTATTAAAATTTTTATTAATAATGTTTTGTTGTTTAGGCAGGAAAAAACGGGACAATAATGAGATGGAAAAAAAGAATTCAAAGAAAGAAATGGTGGAGAGATTCATATTGTAGAATTGTAAATCTAATGATGAGGTATTAAATCATATAAAAATGAGGATTCTTTTGATGAGTCTGTAGATAAAAGCAATATGATTATAATAGATTACGATAATAATTAGTATGAAAAGAAACCATGGTCAGGGATTCAATGGCAAATGATTATACAAACCAAGAATTTAAATCAAATTGAATTGTAAAATTTGAGTCACTTATTTGAGAGATGAATTAAAAAGAAATGTAAGATTTGGAATTCTAAGTAATTTAAGACCAGCGACTTGGTTTTGGATGACTGATATAAAAAATACCTAAATGAAAAAACATACATCAAATATTTATTAAAAATTGAAGTCTTGCGAGTCTCAATATGATTCACAAATTTTTAAATGTATCAAACAATTAGATAAAAAAGTATATTTCATATAAATTTAAGTACAATGATTTAGTTTTTGATATTTTAAGAGCCTATGCAAACTATGATATTGAAATTGGATTTAGTAAAGGAATTGATTAAATTGTTGAATATTTAGTGTAATAATTGGATCCAGAATAATATATTAATCTGGATTACTCTTTCAATTAATTAAATAGAATGTGTGACTTTTATGAACAGATGGTATTTTGGATGACTATTCATATACTATTCCATTTAAATTACAGAAGGATTTTAAAATAAAATATTAGTTTTATAGAAACAGAAAAATTTTAAAACACCCTTATGCCTTCCATCAAATGTTTAATTGAATAGCTCAACGTTAAAATAAGTGAGTTAATTGAAGTTCCATTATTATTTTTTTTTTAGAAGCAATTAAAAAAAGATGACTTTACTAAATTATTCGATGTTTTCCTTTTTGAAGGAGAATGTAAGTCTATTATTTAATATAGCAATTCTACTGTAAATTTTATTGAAATTCTTTAAAATATCAGAAGACTTGGTCTGTTAATTTTAAGCAGAAGCAGATCTAAAAATATTCTTGAATTAAACTTTAATTCCCTATGGAATATCTAAGATAGAAAAGACAAATTAAAAATTAATGTATTTTCTATTATGAATAATGAAATTTGGTTATCTTAAATTAATAATTCACTTAAACGCTCCAATTCCTGTGATTTCTCTACCAGCAACTAAACTATTGATATCATAAGTTCCCTAAAATAGAATATTAAATTCACTTCATATGTATATAGAACTTCAGCATCAGTTAACGCTTTAATCACATAATTATCTGATATGATGCCATCACCTCCAAGCATTTCTCTTCCAAGTCTTGCTACTTCTCTTGTTTTATCTGTTACCCAAGCCTTAACACTTGAGATCATCCCAATAGTAGCTTTACCTTCTGCAGCCAATCTTGATAATCTTAAAACCATTAAAAATGATGCTTAAAATGTGGATAGTATTCTCACTAATCTCTCCTATTATAATTAAAATGATGCTAGATATTTTCCAAATTGTTTTCTTGAGGTAGTCCATTTTAATGAATGTTCATAAACACCTCTCATAACTCCTAAGGCTATCCAAGGCACAATAACTCTTGAATGCATAAGTACTTAATTAGGTCCATTTTAAAAATCAGTTACAGATTCTAATTTATTTTCATCTGGGATAAATATATTTGTAAATGTGATTTAGCAATTTTAAACTATTCTTAATGCTAATTTGCCTTGGATTACTTCTGCATGATATCCAGGCCATTTTGTTTCAACAATGAATCCTTCCACTTTGTTTGTATCTAGATTTCTAGCCCAAACTATCAATACATCCTTATTTCCGTTTCCAATCCATCTTTTATCTCCATTTAAAATATAGCCTCCTTAAACCTTTTTAACATTTGCAGTTAGACTTGAAGCATCGGATCCATATCCTCTTTCTGTCAATCCCCATCCACCGATATACTCAACATCTCTAGTTTTTGTTAAATACTTTTGCTTTTAAGTTGCGTTGCCGAACTTCTCTAATGTATAGTTTAATAGCAAATTTCTAATATTAAATTCCTTCTTACTAAACTGCAATAAATGTAGCAAAACCTGCATCTGCTCTTGCTGCTTCCATCAAAATTACTCCTTATTTAGTGTATGAAGTCCCATGACCATATGGCTTATTTAAAAAATGATGGAATAATTTTAATGGTTTGACAGCATTAACTATTTCTGTGGGGAATTAGGCAGCTTCTACATAATCATTTATTTTAGGAGCAACCTATATTAGTATCATAATGCTAACCTCTTTCTAGACAAATGCTTCAACCGCCTTTCGCACTTCCAATTCTTCAGGAGTCAATAAATCGTACAATGATAAATATTCCATTGGGTCAATTTAAGCTATCTTTTCTTTAACTTAGCCTGCCAATAAATTTAATCTTATCATTAATATTAATATCTAAAACATAATTTTACATGTTTCAAGATCTGCAGAAATATGTCGTCATATTTAATATTAATACCAACTTTCTTTTAAATATATAATTTATTAAACAACATAGAATTTATTGACTGTATTATTATTCTTAATCGTGTAAGTTTACTAAAATAAATCGTATGTATAAATATGTATAATTCCTACTTCTTATTAACTAATTATTTGATAATTATTTATATAACTCAAATATTTAAAATATTATCCTAATGACTCAAATAGCGATTAAGCCTTTATAATAGCGGAATTTCTATTTGAAAAGATCATAAATATGCCAGATAAAGAATACAGAATTAAATGCATCTAATAATCTCCGGAATTTGTATAATTTATATAGTTAATTAAATCTTTTTGTTATAAAGATGGATTTGCTATAAGGCAGATTTTAGAATGAGAATTCAGATGGAGATAGCTTAAGATAATCTTGGACTACTGAAGATAGTCTAAGTAGAACCTCAAGCTATGATGCAGCTGAAGAAGTCAATGATCTTGAGGAAAGAATCTGTCAATACCTAAACGATCTAAATATTCAATCATTTACAAATCCTACTCTCAAATAGGAAATGTATAACCTCTCATTGAAACAATTACTAGTAATATATGTTAAATATCTTTAGTTTTCAAAAATGATCTCATTATCTAACACAAACAGCAGTAGTCTTATGAAGAAGCGTTCACTACACTTCGCTGACTGAATATTGCCATTTTTCCAATACTAATCACTTTATTCCCATCTCAACATATTATTTCAAGCTTAATACTCATTTATATTTTGGTACACCTGGATATTAAGCTCATTAAATTAAAATTTTCATTCCCTATCTTCATAATTATTTAAATTAATATCAGAGTTTCTCATCAGTCTATAAATCCTAATTAAAAATGTTAAATCCTTTATTTTTTTGAGTCATTTTTTCGCTTCATTCGATAACACAGATGACGAAATTCTAAAAAATACTATAATCGCAAATTAATATGCTAAATTTATTAAAATCTCACTTCAACCCTATTAAATGACTCCCAAATAACATATTTCTAAAAAAGCATCTCTTAAAGCAATTATTTATTCCAAAGTAAGAATTTTTAAATTTTAAGTTTAAAAAGAAGTTATAGGATGAATTTTTACTATATTCTTTCAATGAAATACAAAATATGAGTTTATAAAAAGATCAACATTACTTTATTTATTCAACTAAAATTATTTTATGCTAACAAAAAATAGATTTCTTTTAGAGCATACCTTTTGATTAAGCGTTCAAACACTTAATTTTATTCATTTACTTGGAAATTATTGAAAATCCTATTCATCAGTAAATAGATTAAAAAGGACTCGATAATGGTAACAACCTGAAGAATGTTTTAAAATAGAAAAATTACAGATTATAATTTAATATATTTTCAAGTATGAAATTAGTAAAAGTGGTTTAGTTTTAATATCTTTTGAGCAAATATCGCTATTTTCTTGAATATTAATCTAAAAATTTGGCCATCCTAAATCATTAAAGCCTTTTACTTCTAAATAAATTAAACAATTCATTAATTACTAGTTGAAAGTCTTCTGATAACACCTGATTATGAGAAACAATTGTTGTTTTCAAGAATTAAGTCATATCATTGATATTGAATGCTTAGTAGTACTCAATTATCAAATTTCAAACTCCAAAAGTAAGAATTTTTATAGCATTTTTACAAATTTAGATTGAAAATCTGATATGATCAACATGTTTAATATATTAAAGAGAGGATCAGATTTGAATTTATTATGATAGGCAGCATCCTATTAAATAATTTATAATTGATCACAGTAATCAAAACTTTGATTGTTTGATTGAAGTTATTTAAGAATAAAAAATTAACTTAAAGAAGAGGAAGAATACCTTAAAACAGCAAATTTCCTTAATAGTTTGGATTAAAACATGGTAATAAAATTTATTTTGATGATTAGTATCATTCTCCCCATGGACCTATTTTAGTCTCTCGCATTGAAAGATTAATTGTATTTTAAGAGTTTGATTATCTTCTTGATTATTATACGGAATATGATTTCTTCTCTCTGCATGAGATAATTTATTAATTAATTGGTTTTACAGCTGGCAACGACCTTCTAATTATTATACTTTTATATATTGTTGACTGATTTAAATTTCCTTTATTGAGTTATCTTTGTGATTGTTATTATAATATTAGATTTAATAATTATAATTATTTTTCGCTAGCAATTGTAGATTAATTTTTATTGATTAGTTCTTTTGAGATGGAGTATTGATTTTTGTTACTTTCAAAAAGTTTGCATAGAGGTTTGCTAATTGTTTCTGGGTATATAACATTTTAAAAATGAATCTGAGGTTTTTATCTATGAATTTAAAATTTTTTTGCCTTTTTTGGGTGTAGCATAATCTAAGGAAAAAATAATAATATTATTTAATATATAAATTATTATTAAAGAATGATAAGGTATACTGCAAGATATAATTTAACAAACCAAATGCAAAATACAGGATTCAATGTTATACACGTAAATATATATTTTTATTTAGATAATAAGTGTTGGAAATTTTATAATTATTATTTATCTAATTAACTTAATCTTTTCAAAGTGTCATAAGATAATTAATAAAGATTAACTTCTTGCTCAAAAATTAATGAGGTTTAAACAAATTTAAATTATAATAAGTAATAATCAAAATCCATTTTCATTTATTATAACTATTCGTCGAATCCCTCTAGCAATATTTATTGAGAGTCAAAATATTACTTTACCAATATTTCTTATTCCAATTGTTCTGCATATATCCATTCTGTTTTAATTTTTACAATCATCTTGTAAAGTTGAAAAATTACAACTTGATGTATTTACTTTTTAAGACTGTTCTTAGTTATAGTGATTGGAGATTGAAAAGTAAGATAAAAACCAAATTTAATTAATTTTATCATCACGATAATGTTGTTGAATGATAATGTCTTAATTTTTCAAAAGTTTAATAAGTAAAATAAATAAAATCTATCTATTAAGTATAATTAATATCTGACTTTAATTTTTCATTAATAAAATAGTTGTTTTGCTAAAGTTAGAATAAGTATTAAAGGTAATAATTATTAAATATATTTTAATATAATAAAGAAAAATTGACTGATTGCTGAGATTACAGTACCAAAAATTATATAATTAACATATTTCAAAAACGATTTGTTTTCCTTAAAAAGCTTTCCAAAAATGCAAGTAAATAAAAATAATTTAACCCATCGTCCACTCAACATCCCTATATAATTCTCATTTCAAATATTTAAATTTATTATGCATTATTAATATAAAATACTTTAAACAAAGTAGAGTTTGACTTACAAGTAATTTTATGAAAAAATTCTGTGGTTATTTGTTTAAAGTTCAGAACATGAAAAAAAATTCAAAGACAAAAGCATTTTGTTTGGTTGGTATTGGATTGCTACAAATTTACTGTGGTGTTTTTACTTTGTAAAATTTGAGGTTATTTTAAGAGAAATGGAATATAGGGAATAAGTAGTTTAGAATTAAAGATAAGGTAAAGTGGATGAATATTTATAAATACCCACTTACTTAGATGTTGAGAGATTGTGCAAAGAGAGTACTATCATATTAACAATAATATTATTTATTGGATTTTGCTTTCCATTTGCGTGCTTTATTTTGGGAGTGATAAGCGGCAAGAAAGAGAAAAATGAGAAAAATCAATCAATTTGTTTGAAAGTAAAAATAATGTTTGCATTTAGCTTTATACTTTATTTATCGATATATATTACTGGTGCTTATTCTAACCATTTATTTAAGCTTAACTTGAAGTTTTGCTTCTTAATAATTAAATTTTGAATTGGAATGAAATGTTAGAGGAACATTATACGAATGTTGCTTTGTTATTTGCAATATCTATAATTGGGTTGTTCATAAATGTAATAATGATACTATCAATATTGCTTTTATTTTATCAAAATTTCCAGTTTAGAATAGATTTATTAAGTTGCAGTAATAGGTAGATAATGATAAATGTTTGTATATTAAAAATAACAATAGCTATATTAAACAGCATTCATATTAAGTCTATTAATCATTATGTAATGTAAATTAGATATATTAGGTATCATATTTGATTATTTTGATATTGTTTGTTTTAAAAAATATTGGAAAACTAATTTTTTGGGAATGAGAAGCCATCATTTTATTATTATCGGTTAAATTAATTTTATGAGCATCTTATGTTTAGTTTATTAGGTATTCTGTTAACATTCCTGATAGAACTATTAGTTTTACATTTGAATCATGAGGTTAATGATTTTTTATGCATAATCATAATATTTGTATTTTTGAATACTTTGGGCAACATGTTTTAAAATAAAATAGTAATGTTTTATTTAATGTAAGAGAGAATATCAAGTTCATTGATATTAAATAAAATTTATTATTTATACTAATTAAATGCTTCATCATCAGGAGATAAGAAATATATAATTATTGGATTGATTGAGAAACATCTTCAAAAAGGATGCAATTCAAAATTGGAAAGGAAATAATAAAATTTTGATTAATAAAATGATCCTTTATTTGATAACAATTCAATAGGATATTGTTTTTGCTAATAGCATTAATTTTATGATGCTAGAAGAGGAGTATTTGTAAATAGTTAAAAATCAAAAGTATAATAACATTATAAATCATTCTTTCGATTTGAAATTAAATCTTTGTATGAACATTGTTTAATTTAGAACAAAGATAATCACTAGATGAGATTATTATATGCTAGACATTTATTTTTTTCAATTTAAAATAAATCATAGGCTTTATTGTAGATGTCTATTTTAAAGTAAAAGTTCAACAAATTATCATTTTTTGAGAAATTAGATTTTCATTTGATGCTAATGATGATGGAAAATAAAATTATGATTTAGAATACAAATAGTTATCGTAATTATCTAGATTTTGAATATGTGATTGAAGTAGAGATGATTATAAAGAAAATAAAAATAAAGATAGTTGATTTAATTTAAAACTATTTGAAATATTGGAATATAGTGAATTTAGAAAAGGTAGAGGAATCCGATTTGCTTAAATTAGATAATAAAATATAGATTGGAATAAATGAATGCGAAAAGCTATGGTCCAAAATTAATCATTATAATAAAGAATTTGATGTCTAATAAAATGAAATAAAATATCTAAGTAAAAAACCATAATGGGAATTGTTATATTTATGGTATAAGAGATACATTCTAAATTAAAAAATGAAAGGTTAAATCTTTGATTATCATCCAACAAGCAATTTTTAATAGAATTATTGTGATGAAGATTCAGATTCTGATTATGAAAATCATTTTTTATAGGCTTTTGATCCTAAAAAGGTTTTCCATTAGATGACATCCATTATCTTTGCAAAAGAAAACGGAAATGTTGTTAAATTTAATGAATATTCAAAATAGATTTTTGGTATACAAGGATTAATTAACATAAATTAAATTATTCCTAATTCTATGATTCGAAATCATATGTTAAGAGTGAAAGAATTTGTTGAGAAAGGAAAGACAAGTTCTTTATATTCAAGAAAAAAAGTACTAATCCAACATCATAATTCATATCTTATCCCTGCAAATAAATACTTAAAAATATCCATTAACTAGTTCATGTTATTAGAATTTATTGTTATGATTAGACCTATTTAACACGAATCATCAGGCAATTATTTAGTTATTAATGAGGATTGGGAAATAGTTTAAGCAACCAAATAATTAAAGAATATGTTTGAATAATAATTCAATCTTTTATTAAGTTGTCCTAAACTATTACTATATTCTTAATTTCAGAATCTCCTGGAAAAAGATGATTATTTGTTATTTCAAATTGAAAACAATAAAAATTATGGTTTTTCCAAATAGCAAACTACTCAGAGTGATTTATAAAGTATCATTTTTGATATCATTAGGATAAAAAAGTATGCTAAATGATAATGTATTTGATGAAGTAGATTAGGATAAATAATTTACTGAACAATTCATAAAAGAACATGAAGACGATTTGGATGAACGATAACGATTATTGAATTCGAATCTTCAAAATCAAAATGAGCAATATTTTTAAATTTTGATTAGAATTCCTATGTTATATTAACGAATGCAAGCGGAATACTTTAATCTAATAATTAATGCTGAGAAAGAGAATTTTTATGATTATCCAGAAGATTCAATTATGAAAAAACAGAGCATTATTATTAGAAATGGAAGAAAAAAAATTGCTTTTAATTTTAAAATTTTAGTTGAGAAAATCAACTTTTTAAAAAAATTACGATTAGTTTCTTAATTAGAAGTTTATAGTATATATTCTTAATTATTAAGGATATCTTTATAGGAAATATTTTTGTAAAGCTGACCAATTAAAAAGAGTAATTAGAATAGATGCAAAAATTAAAGTTGAAAAAAATTAATTAATTGATAAAATCTAAATAATAAAAATCAATAGATTTGAGACTTTCAATAATATTAAATCTAAAAGATAATCAATGTTACTTAAAGGAGACGTCAATAGAAAAACTCTTAGAATCAAATTAGAACCATAATAATAATAATTCTAAAAATAAATTTCATAACAATTTGCAAATTTGCCATCTCTAAAGGATATTAAAATTCCTTCAAATGAAAATGTATTAAATAATTCATGCAGAGGTTTAATAAATGAAAGTCAGATGAAAAATGATTTTAATGATTCAATAGCCTAAGAAATTTCAATAAAACCTGATTATAATATTTTTATAAAGGAAGATCATAACAAAATCAAAAAGCATCTAAACAAAATTAATTATTTTAAATGGACAAATAGATATTTCATGGTTGGGATGATATTTCTTACTATGTTATCGTTTTCTTATGGACCTAATGTAAGTTACACTGATTTATTCCTTTTAAGAGTATTTTTGTATAATTATTATTAGGCAAATTCAAGTTACACTTCGGTTCTTGTAGCTTAAGACGTTTCAGTCATTTATAATCAGTTAATTGATATGGCACTTTGTAATAAAAATGCCACATTATGCTCTAATATAATTTAATATACAAACATATATGATTAATAAGAACTATTGGATTAGAAAGTCTTATTAGATTTGCTGAATGTTAATAAAAGTTTCAATTAATTTTATAGAGATAAATATAATATATAAACTATCTACTCTACTATTATAATTAAGCATGATAATGAAATCCATTAATAGAATTTATTAGAAGATATAAAAAATTTTTAAGTGTTATTAGAATAGTTACTGATTTCAAACTTATCATAAATAACTTTTGAATTTGAATATTATGAGATTTTACAAGAAGATTTGATGCCAGGATTGTTTGAAAGCTTGAGTTAGATTCAAATTGATCTACTTGATGAAATATACTAAGAATTTGATTTTAGATCTGTATTTTTTTTAGTTGATATGATATCTGGCTTTATGTTTTTAGGGACATTGATGGCGATTAATTTTTTTAATGTGTTTAAAATAATTGAATATTATCAAATTATGTATAGTCAAATATAGTATTTTGATTAGCCTACAATTGAGAATGTAATAAAATATTATAAAAAACTAAGACAATATTTTAATTACTTTAATGATATTCACACATATCAAACCAATAGTATAAAAATTCATTAATTATTAATTGTAGATTATATTTCATTTTAATCAGAAGGGTTTATAAAGGCTGAAGCAGATTATAAAATGACAATGGCTTTAAAAACCACTAAATTTATTGTCTCAGATTATTGGTTTAAATTAAAGTTAAGATTGATGCTATTATACTTTATACTTATGTTCCTTTTGATTGTGATGGCTCTAACTTACAATATTTTTATGCAAAAGTATGCCTATTAACTGAAAATTGAAATATCTTAAAACCCTTTTCTATTCGAAAATACTAGTCCCTGGACTTTTACTTTCTCTAAAGAATTATACATTGAATCCTTTTATGATATTCATAAAATAATATCGAATGAATATCAAGAATACTTAGAATAGTTCGTTGTAGATGCTTTGGATACAAATTCTAATAGACTAGAATCAAAATAATCATTAATTGACGATTACTATTACTCAGATATTTGCAACTTACTTAATTTTTAGAATTAAACTGAATGTTAGAACATTGCGGATGGAATATTAAAAAGAGGATTGCAACAAACCTATTATTAAATGGCTACTCTGTTTGAGAGTCAACTTGATGAAAGCAAAACGAAGTTCACAGAAATATCTTTTGATTCAATCTATAATTTGAATTTAGTATTTATAAATAATTAATTATTAGTTATAACCTTATATATTTGCCAGTCGGAAAGAGATGTGGACGATATGGATAAATAAGTTTTAAGAGATTTTTTCTTACTATGTAATCACAGAAACACAACTAATGTAAATATTGAATATTTAAATAGAATTTGTTTCTACATTTTTTCCTTTTTGATATATTTGGTTACTTTGGAACTGTACTATGAATAACAATTGAGGATTGATTATTAAAAAGTAAGAGGTTATTATAAAAGATATTTCCCTAATAATATTTTAAATGAATAAAAAAGAATAAAAGCAATTCTTAAGAAATTATCTCTAATTGGATGACTATACGATTGTGTGATAATATTAATTTAGATATATATATTATTAAATCATAATTGTGACAATTATTATTCATTAAAAATAGACACTAAATATTACTAATATAGATATATAATACTAATACCTAAATATCTACAGACTCTTTGATTTCACTGTTATTTAATTTGGATCTATTTTGTGTTTGCAATAATTGTTAATAGTTCCCATTGGTGATCATTGCAATGTTTAATTTGACGACTATAATGTTATTAGCTACTAATAGTTCAGCTTAACCAAACTTAAAGATCGAATCAAAGCCTTCCAATTTTATATTAATTGACTAAGAATGAATCCTAAAATTATTACTTTTCTTTGATCAATTTCAGCCATTTCAAAGCAAATATTCTCTGTGAATTTAATATATGAAGCAATGTGTTTGATCACTTTGCCTAGCATATCCCATTAAAGACCTATGTCAATACACATTTTAGGAGAGATAGCTAAACTATAATTTAAAGAATACATTTTTTAGTGGCTTTTTCAAGTCCATTAGCTAATTTGTTGAAATAGCATTCAACAAAAGATTAGAATTAAACATGATATCCTAATCTATCTTTAGTCATCTCATACAAATCCATAATAATTTAATCATCTTTAATTGATGAAACACTTTCCTTATCAATTAAAAATGTCCAATATTTCGTTGATGAATCTTCAATAATTTAGTTAAATAAAAAGGAGTACTTTTCTCTTCTTATAAATTCATCTTTAGCGACAACTTGAATGATAATTTGATTAGTTATTGGTATCGTGATAAGTTCTTTCTTATTCTTTCGCTTTGTTAAATAATTAGAAATTAGTTATTTTCCATTATATTAAATTGAATCTCCTTGAAATGAGTAAGGATTGACTGTTATGGCAATATTGTCATGCATTTCTTTGATTAATTATTGAATATTTTCATGTGAATAACCTTCAATGTTGAAATTTTCAATTCTGGGTAGAATATCATATTTAGTTTGCTCATAGACTTATTAGATGAGTTGATTTTTTGCATGTTCAGTTCCTTTTTATGAGGATAATATGGAAGGATATATGAACTATGTATCTAATATAATTATTAAACACAATTATTACCTTTAACCATTCCCAAAGGATATTTGATTTTCCAAGTGTTATTTTCTGATTGCTTAAAAACAATAACTTTATATTAAGCAACTTATTCAGCAGGATGTAATTCTGCTCTTATTTCTATGTTGGCAGTTTGAATTCCCCAAAAGTCAGTTGAAATGTAATCATCATATTTACTCAGTGTTTATATTTCATGTATAATGGTTTCAGCTTAATAACATACATGTCAT